TGTGTGTGTGTGTGTGGCCAGCTCAGCCCACCAGGGGCGAGGCTGGCTGGCATGTGGTGCTGGGGGATTGAACCGTGGTCCCTGTGCTTTGCCAAGCTTGTTCCAAGTAGGTGCTTTAGACCACTGAGGCATCTCGCCAGCCCCTAAAGTTTTGATCCAATATACCATTTACATGTCTAAAGGAGTTTATAGACCTATTTATTTGTCCTTTTTGACTGGCCTTGAGCTCACTTTGTAGCCCAAGCTGGTCTTGGACTTGCCATGATCCTCCTGCTTCAGCCTCCAGAGTGCTGTGATTACAGGTGTACGCCCTGTTTTTATTTTTTAACTGCTGGGCTCAAGCAGGCCTCCTGCTTCCGTCTCTTAAGAAACTGGTAATATAAGCATGCCCCACCATGCCAGACATCAGACCTTTATTTTTACTTCCCTGATGAGTCAGTCATGATTTATTTTTATATGCTAGTATCTTTTGTTCAAAAGTTCTCTGAAATTATTTTTAATGTTATGAGTAAGCCAGCTCCAAATATCATAACTCAAGTGAGGCTAGACATTACCTATATTCCATAAAACACACATGATGAGGAACTATTAGTGGACTCTGAGTCAATTTGGAAACCAAATGTTCATGTGACTAGGAAGTTCAATTTCAAAGTTCAGTATGACCAATTTTCAGAATACTAAATCATCTAAATAATTCAGACAAGATTTAGAGGCCAACTGATAGCTGCCGTGGTTAAAGAAAATACCTCAACTTACACATATTATTACAAACTTGATTGCCACTAAACTTATACAGTACAAGAAAACAGTATATTCAATAAATGTCTATAATTGAGCTATACCCCAGCCCTGATTACTATAAATTTTACTCTATCCTTAAATAATATATTACTGATTAATCAATGGATCACAGAAGAAATAAAAATGCTTCTAGAATTAAATAATGGAAGCCCAGCATGCCAAAACCTATGGGACACAATCAAAGCTGTTCTAAGAGGGGAAATTTATAACTGTGAATGTACCTATAACCAGAATAGTGACTCCAAATAAATAACCTATAAGGTCCTAATAAAACAAGAATAATCCTAATCTGAAACTAATGAGGGAAAGAAATTATAAAAGATCAGAACAGAAATTTGTGAAATTGAGACTGACAGAAAATATTACTGAATAATATTAAAATATAACTGATTTCAGAAAATCAGTTACAGAGTTGGTTCTCAAAGGATTGAAAGAGGATCAGGAGATAAAGGAAGATGAGAGAGAGAAAGGTGAAGCCGAAATAAAAAGGACCAAGATGTAATATGTGTATCTACCAATTCCCCCATGAAGAATGAATTTACTATTACCTGAAACATATACTGACAAAAAGAGGAAAATTTTTTATTCTATTCTGTTATATTGTATACAATTGTAAGAACAAAGCAAAATATTAATAAGCAAATCAGTAAAAAGCAAATAAATCAACTCAAGTACATACTTTAGGCCAAATGTCTGATTTTATACATATGCCTTATGAATTTAGCATTAATGACATTTTAATTGAAATCTGTGAGGAACTATGTTGAACATTATACAACATGGTAAAAACTTAGTTTGCCTGATATATGTAACATCTATGCCAAAAAGTTGTTAAAGCATAATACAAACTATTCTGCTCCTTTTGGCAGACTAAAGTTCTGTAGACTTGAATCTAAAAAGAAGCATAACTTACATGTCCTGCATATTGTCCAAATTTCTTCCTCAGCCCAACAGCCAGGCCAGTAAGACATTTAGCTGCCAGAGCTACCAACATAACATTAGTGTCCTTTCCAACAACCTAGGAAAGAAGAAAAAGGAAGACAAGACGATCACACCCTGTAGAAGGATACTGAAAAACATTCTCAAAACAACACTTAAAACTAGTATGCTAATGGGTGACCCATTTTATTTTCTATAAAAGAGGGAAACTTATTCCTCTTTGATAATAATGGATCTAGAAACCTTTATCATGTTCAATCTATCTTTAAGTTCTATACCATAAAGCACACATAAAACAACTTCAAATAGCTAACACTTTAGTGGTACCAATCTGGGCTGTTATAATCACTCAGCTGTGGGAGGCAACTCTGATAGGCATAAAACTTGGAGGTTTCCTGATCATTTGGAACAAAAAATTCAAACAAGTGCACTTAGCACCACAGGGCCCAACCTAGGTACCACAATGTCTAATATTTACATCCAACAAGATGCAATAGAAACTCTGAAGTCCTGAACTGAAAAATTGTAAATATTCTGAGGGAGGGCCTGACTTTGCAGTTGCCATTGTAGTCACACCATGACTGTCAATTTTCAGCAGGCTCTCTTCAGTACTAGATCAACCACTACCTATATGGAATTGTCCAATAAATTATGGGGAGAAGGGAATGTTATAAATGAGAAAAGGAAAGCCCACAGAGTATTGAAAGAAAACAATTGGGCTGGTGAGATGGCTCAGTGGTCTAAAGCACCTACTTAGAACAAGCTAAGCTAAGCAAAGCACAGGGACCGCGGTTCAATCCCCCAGCACCA